TGTTTCGTTCAAATACATAATACAATAGTCGCAATAACATTGAACAATCTGAACTCATATAGAAGGTTTGTTTTCATTTACTACCTCAATCCTTCTTATATCAGTGAAGACATTGCAGATTTACTTAATCAAGATATTGTACCTGGGGTTGGAAAAAGGAGCTTCACTTTTAACAGTAGTTTCCCCTGCAGCAGCATCTAATACAATATCCACAGGCGTTATTGTATTAAGGATGAAAATAAAACAATAACACACACATGTATATATATATATATATATATACAAACTGTTAGATTCTCTTATAAGCGCTAAATGGTATAAAGCTGGAATTAATACAGCACAGGAAGCTTTACATAAAAGGTGTTCTTTATTTAAAAAAAAGAACACTTCCCCCTGAGTTGCAAAAAATCAAAAAAAGAACGAGTTTCCGAAATATGGAGAGAAGAATGACCCGTATTTATCAGGAGAAATCCTAAGCTTCTGTGAAATGGCGGGCTAACAACGATTTTAGCTCTCAACAGAGTAGCAATGCAGCTTCAGATAAAAACTCTGAAATCTAACCACAGCATATAATAAATGGCAGTGGCACCTCTAAAATAGGACAAAGAAAAACATAATATTAGCATCATCTTTCTAGCTCTGTCCACGGAAGATAATTCAGTTCAAACATTAATTACCAAATACCCGGATCCTTTGCTCATGTGGCCACAGAGTTGTCTTCTCCAACAGGTCTTGGCTCAAAAAATGTCCTTCTCTTACATTTTAACAATTAGAGTGTCACGGTACATAACTAAGAGGTTTGTTTTTTACTTCCAGTAATTTTAGACCTCTCTGCAAGAGCAGCACCACATTCTGACAAAAACAAGAACTTCAGCCAGTCAGTGAAATAAAAGAGCAACAGGGTTTACAAAGTACATCTTGACACCATTTTTCATCTGGTTAAAAACAAATACTGAATTCCATTCAGTTGACAAGATACAAATTTGCATATAACAGAAAACAAGACTTTCCTGTTTAAATGCATCAACTCCTTTTATCAGAGGGATGGTATTATTGTGGATCTGACACGTTGTGGATTAAGACCAAGAACATGGTTGTTTTCACAAGTAAATTCTGAAATTAATCCTATCTCTGTCTCTGTTATTCTGCCTCACCTTCTTCCCAAAACAAGGTTTGTTCTACATGCTGTAACATAGATCAGTTCTTTGCCTTAGATGATCCTGCACTTTTCTTCTCCTTTTATTTAGTGTGCTATTCGTGTTTTCAGTAAGGAAAGTTGCTTTTAATTTCCAAGTGCAGTGAGCAATGGGTCCCTGGACCTTTGTAAAATGTGACAGATTTTAATCAAAGTTGAAAACCACATAACTTTAAGTATCCTCTTGCTTTAAATGTATATTATAAAGTCAACATAGCTACTTTTACCTGAATTATACTATGAGTGGATTTTAAAGAATTATGTAGATCTGTCAGTCATGAAGGATGATAAGAAGTCTCACCCTGGCAGGTACCCATGGTTGGTACCAACAGTGGTGCAGTGGACTATACTCCACTGTACTTTGTATCTCAAAAAGTCAGGAAAGTGACTAAAACTGCAAAGTAAAGTAGACTTTGACAACTTTTATTTGCATTTTGTCTGCACGTACAGCTGTCATGACATTTCCATTTCTTAAAGTGGAGTAGTGACCAAATGTAAAAAGTGTGGGAGAAAAAACATGGTTAAAAAAATGCATTGATATGACAGTTCAGATCATTAAATATATATGATGCAGTGGCTTGGTTTGGTGTTGTCAGTGTGATGCAGAGTCTGTGACATTATTTAGAATTTTCTCAGTTCGTCTGAGTTCATCTGTCTGATGGCGGTAGGGAAGAAGCTGTTTCGGAATCTTCTGGACCTGCATAGAATGCTTCAAAGCTTCAGAGGGCAGCATGGAGAACAGTCCATTGTGGGGGTGTGAGGGGTAATTGATAATGGTACGGGCTTGGGAAAAGCAGCACTGGGATGAAATGTCTTTTATGGAGGGAAGAGGAACCCGATGATCTTCTCTGCTGTCCTCACCACTCTTCTCCCCTTCTTCCAGTCTGCGGTGATGTAATCTTCACATCACACAGTGAGACAGCTGGTCAGAACGCTCTTTATGGCACTTCTGTAGAAGGTCGTGTGGATGGGTGGAGGTAGGTGGGCTCTCCTTGTCCTCCACAGGAAGTGCTTTTGTGCCCTTTTGATGAGTGATGTGGTGTTTACAGTCCAGTTGAAGTTGTCTGTGATGTCAACCCCCAGGAATTTGGTGCTGCTGACTACCTCTACTGCTGAGATGTTGATGAGCAGTGGAGCAAGTTTAGGCTGGTTCTTCCTGAAGTTGACAATGATCTCCTTCATTTTCTCCACATTCAGGATAAGGCTGTTGTCTCTGCACCAGTCCACCAGCTGCTCCGACTCCTCTCTGTAGTCCCGGTTGTTGTCATCTCTGATGAGGCCCACCAGTGTAGTGTCATCAGCAAACTTCACAATGTGATGAACCTGGGGACGCAGTCATGTGTCATCAGGTTGAACAGCAGGGGACTCAGGAAGCAGCCCTGAGGGGTGTATTGAAGCCCAGTTAGTCCAGTTTTCCTATCAGATGCTGTGGGATGATTATTTTGAGAGCTGGACTTAAGTCCTGGTACGTAGGTGTTCTTCTCCTCCATGTGTGCTAGGCTCAGGTGAAAAGCAGAGATGTGTCTTCAGATGTTGGGGGAGACTGGAGATGATGTGTTCTTTAACCAGCCTTTCCAAGCAATTCATCATGATAGGAGTCGTTATTGTGTGTCATTGAGCGAGGTGACCTGAAACTTCTTTGGGACCGGAATGATGGTGGCCGACTTAAAGCAAGCTGGCACAATTGATTGCTCCAGCATGAAGTTAAAAATGTCTGTGAGGACACCAGGCTTCTGACCTGCACACTCTTTATACATCCACCCAGGTATGCTATCAGGGCCTGGGGACTTTTTTGTGTTGACTCTTCTCAGAGTTTTCCTCACTTCAGCTATGTCGAGGTTAAGTGCCTCCTCCCCCTGGTGAAGTACTGTTTAGTGCCTCAAACCTTCCAAATAAGTTTTTTAGTTAATTTAGGAAGTCGGCATTAGCTGATTTGCTGGGGGGAGGGTGTGTTGTAGTCTGTGATCACCCATATGCATTGCTGCATTCTTCTGGTGTTGCTGGCATCATGGAAGAGATCCTGGATCTTCCGGCTGTGGTTCTGCTTTGCTGATCTGATGGCAATGTTCAAGTTGGCATGTGCAGTCCTCAGTGCCTCTCTGTCCCCAGACTTGAAAGTACTTTTAGCAATCTCCAAACCTCCCCATTCATTTTGGGTCGTTGGTTTGCTTCGGTGGGGATGTTCTTTGTGATGCTGACGTCTTCAGTGCATTTCTTGATGTAGGCTGACACAGTGGTGGCATAATTAAATATATATTTATTTTTTTGTCATAGGTTGCTGCAGCTTTGAACATATTCCAGTCAGAGCATTCAAAACATTCTTAGAGTTCCTCCAAGGCCCCCTCAGACCACACTCTGACTTCTTTAATTGTTGGTTTAGCCCTGATTAGCTGGGACCTGTATGCAGGAATTAGCATGACAGAAAGGTGATTTCATGACTCGAGGTGGGGGCGGGGAGCTGCTCTGAATGCATCTTAGATGTTAGAGTGGGCTAAATCTAAAATATTTTGACCCCAAGCTGCAAAGTCCACATGTCGGTAGAAATGAGGGGGCGCAGCCTTTAACTTAGCCTGCTTAAAATCCCCAGCAATGATAAAAAAGGCCCTCAGTGTGTGCAGATTGAAGCTCAGAGATGCCTGGTAGAGAGTCTTCATGGCCTCTTTTGTATTAGACCTGGGTGGCGCATAAACAGCAGTAATGCTAGCCACACTAAACTCTCTGAGCAGATAGAACAGCCTGCAGGTAACAGTCAGAAACCTCATGTCTGGAGAGCAGAAGCTGGCAACTGATCTAGAATTTTTAGACCAGCTGTTGTTTATGTAAACACAGACCCCACCACCTCTGTACCGATTAGTTCTTTGTTTCTATTGCCGTGGAATAGCGTGAGGCCATCCAGGCTAACAGTATTGTTGACTATTGATGAATAAAACCATGATTCAGTCAGAATTATGGTGCAGCAGTTACTAATCTCCTTTTTTGAAGAGAGTTCGAGTCGGAGATTATTTTGTTATCCAGTGAGAGGACGTTGGAGAGCAGGATTGATGGGACGGTGTTCTTTGGTAATTCCTTCTTAGCTTCGCTGTTATCCGCCTCTGCTGCCCCTCTTATGCCATCTCACTTTCCCCTTCCTCCGGCTTTCTCCTTTGCCTGGCCGGCTTGCTTTGTTTACATCCTTCTGTAGCACTCCGCAGCTTTTTATACGATCAAGCTGTATTTAAAGCATGTTGTGACTGTAGCTCTATGAGGCGGTCATAGATGCGGGATTGATGCCTGGTTTTTGTAGCGTTCTGAATGGCATATTTTGTGGAATTGTCGGAAAAATTGTCGAGAGCTGTATTAGGCCGTTGCCCCAGGCGCCTCCATAAGGTAATGGTAGGTATTTATATAACCTCTTTTCCATACGGTAGACTTCAAATAGAACTGTCTATTTTCAAATTGTATTTTGAACACCCCCTAAAGCATGGATGTGAAACTCAAGGCCTAGGATTCCTCCTTGTTCCAACACTGCAAAATCTTACGCTTAATTTACTCTACTAGCCCAAGAAGCAAGTAGAGTTACAAAATGTTCACATTTAGTTAGCCTGGGTTTGCTTTTCACTTTGACTTCTTATATAAAATAATAACAGAGGAATGACACTGGAAATATACACCTGGAAATATACACCTCTGCTCCATTACCTCCCCATGTTGCTGCCACCCACCTTCCCTTACACCCAATCAATACTGCCCGTTTGATGGAGGGTGGAGTTTGGGAAGTTGTAAAAACATCAAAAGAAAGAGAAGGATATTGCCATCTTAGAGATGAAGAAAACTCTTTTAAGTGGTTGAAAAGCAGCAGGTAAGTTACGCCACTGTGTTAAGAGCAGGTTTCTAAATTCTCAGATCAGCTATAAGTACTGCTAGTCAAGTGACAGGTAACTGTTGTTTTCCAACTTTGTAGTCATTAGAAATTGAAATATAACAGATCATGAAAGCAAAGGAAGAGGTCTTCCACCTCAGAGATTAATTCAATATAAAATCTCCAATGATTGTGCTGATTGCAGTGGTGTGCACAGACCTTTTGAAGGGCTCATGTTCTTGGTTTCTGTAACTGTTTTGGTATTCAAACATAGCTGTAAGCCTGCAACTCTCTACTGTCCCACATGATACCCAAGTTTTAAATATTTTGTTTCATGATTCAAGCTCTTATTTTGCTATTCTTCTCCTCTGCTCTAATGTCACATTCTCTCTTGTTGCTTCTGGTACACTGGCCAGGAATGCATTCAGACTGCAAAATCCGGATAAACCGAGCAGAGAGCGGAGACAGTTGTAACATTGCCAGGATATGACTGGATTTGGTTTACCAGCTTGAAACACATTAGAAACTGGTCTCTATTACTATTTAAGAGTTTGGTGTGAAAGAACTGCAAAAGCTAAAAATCCTCCTTGGTATATAAGTTTTGCAAAAGGGCTGGTCGTTGACTCTTCTGACCTATCCATGCTCCTCCTGAATTAAATGAAGTTCATTTAATTCAGGAGGAGCATGGATAGATCAGAGTGTTGCTGGATTTTGCCACTTGAGGAATGAATTTGCAGTCCCCTGCACCAGCAGTTCTGAAATCAAATCATTCATTGTATGAAACGTCAGCTGCACTGACTCCGAAGGGTGAAAGTATGTAAAGCTGAAGTGGTAAAATGACCAGCATCCAACATCAATGCAAAATTATGCATTTTGGCTCCATCTGTCCTAATGAACTTACTCTCAATTTCCTCTGGTGCTGCACCTGGAGCTTTGCATGCACCCCTTCACCCTCCAAGTCCTCAAATGATCTTTCTTGTGTTTTCTCAGTGCATTTTCATTTGAATACTCAACAGTAGTGTGTAACCTGATCATATTTATGTCAGTCTTTGCCATAGGCATGCTCGGAAAAAGGGCAAGTTGCCCGCTCTTTGCCAGTGGCTATGATTGCTGGTGTATCTTGTGTCCAATTTCAGACAGGTAACCATTCATTGTAAAAAAAGACAGATGAAGGGGAGGAAAGAAGTCCTGTGAGCTGCTATTGACTGAACCAAGACATCTTTCATAACCTGTTGCAGCAGGTTTTTTTCTTCTGTATATCTTATGGCTGGAATAGCCTGAACGAGTGCCAGACATACACACTCACACACCCACATACTATATATCTTACACACACCCTCACACACAAAATAAGGATGATATTATGAGCTGACAAAAACTGAAACCACCCCATCAACTATTTCCATTTCCATTGAGTCAGTCAATCTGATCAAAGTGCCTCACTGTCAGGGTAAAGATAGAGAGAAAAAAGCTCCAAGATAAATGGACTCAGCACGGACTACAGGTATAGGAAAGAAAATCTGATGGAAATAAACAAAGGAACAACCGGCAGCTGTTGAATTCCTAAGTTTGGTGAGTTTATGTCTCTGTCTTATGGGCTTTAAAGTGTTTTTTTTTAAGACATCTTTTCTTAGTTTTTCCAATACTAAACTGTAGTACTGCTGCTGGTACTTTTGCATGAAATTAATATTTCACACTTACACTTACATGGCAGCTTTATGTCGACAAATTCATGTTCACTTTTTTGGCCTGTGTTGAAGGTACAGCAATACCTGTTGTCTAATGATAGCACACATTAGAACATTGTTTTCAGATAGATGTTTGCGTAAAGGTAGTTGTGGAGAGACAGAGGAAATCTGCTGACGCCTCAACTTATTCTGACGGCATAGTGGTAATGTGTTTACTTAAGATGTGTTAACTGATGATGTGTTTGCTCATGCAGTCTTTCCACTTTTGCAGAATTTGCTTACATCTTTCATCAACATGGAGAAATACAATCCTGAGTTAGATTCTAGCTATTTTTTAGTCAGCTCTCATAATTTGTTGTGATCGGTGTGATTTTTTTTGGGTTATTCTTGTTTTTCATATTCAACTCAAGCAGCTAATCTATACACTCCGCTATTTCCCTCAGCAGAAGGCTTAAAAATGGCTTGTATATCTTGTTTTTTTTTTTGGTTGTTTTCTGTATACAGTGACCCTGGTCTCAGAAGATAATCCCTGCCATCTGTGATTTAAATTACAATTATTTTTAATTTTAATGTGATTCAGATTATTTCAGACCCCATAGATAGGACTTAAAATGAAACAGCTACTTTGTTGATTAATTCCTGATTTAGTCACATATTTTAGCACAGCAGGTTTCAAACACCTGAGTTGGAAAATCTCAATTTCAGAAAGAATACGGCCTTAACTGTCTGAGGAGGACTGGAAACCTGTCCAAGGAGTAGCCCACTGTCCAGTGACTGCCAGTGACCCTTGAAGGTGAAGTGGGTACAGATAATGGTTTGATGGAGCTTAACCATCATGGGGTAAAATTCCAAGAGTTTGCAAGAGAGAAACATCAATTTGGATTAATTTCAAATGTCAAGCTCACATCACCTTCTGATCCTTGGAGCCTAAGGTTAACTTAGAGGGAGAAAAGCGGAGCTCGTCTGCCTGGTTGTGTGTTTCCTGGACGGGGAGAGCTGGTTGACAGTTGCCTTTTGCATGTCTGCTTCTTTTTGATCTCTGCTTCTGTCTCCTTGAACCCCAGTCAGCCTCGGCAGATGTCCGCTCACACTGAGCCTGGTTCTGCTGGAGGTTAATTCCTGTTAAAAGGGAGTTTTTCCTATCAACTGTCGCAACAAGCATACGTGATGTGAGGGATTGCTTTCGGGTCAATGCAATCAATTGGTTTTCCATAGATATAAAACTTTGAATCAATTTAAATGTATGATCTGGTTGAATTGTAAAGTGTCTTTAGATGGCACTTGTGAATTGGTGCTATATAAATAAACTGAATTGAATTTTAAAAAGCTGATGGAGGGGTGCAGTTTTTATTATTGTGTTCGCTTATTACAAGAAGAGCCCAGTTTTGAATCCCAGTTTGGGACATTCTCCCTGTGGATGCTTGAGTTTTCGGTCGATACCCCCGTTTCCTCCCATAGTCCAAACACATGACTGTAGGGTTTCATAGTCTCTTGTGAAATTGGAATGAATTTGTGTATGCATGGTAATTTTGACTGCGTGTCTCTCTGTTTCCCTATGATGGACCGTAGGCCTGTCCAGAATTTTCCCACCTCTCGCCTGATGAACACTAGAGAGGAGCAAGAGCCCCCTGGTGTACAGGATAAATGCTTGTAAAAATAAGCATTTTAATATCTAATTTTACATCAGCCATTTTTAATCAAACCAGTTATTTAGCATAAATGACGTAAAATAAAATGATGAGTTAAAAGATATTTCAACTGATTTTTTGGGGAAAATTTCATTTAAACTATTCAGTTAAATTAAAGAATATATTTACACACGTAACATTGTTTTGATTAAACAGTTTGGTTATTCTAACTTTACTTACACTTTAGAGCAGGGATGTCTAGCTGGTTCCAGAAAGGGCCGTGTGGCTGTAGGTTTTCTTTCCAACCAAGCAGTAGCACACCAGACTCCATTCATCTCATCAAGTCATCAAGTTAAGACTGGAATCTATGAGGTGCCACCAGGGACATAAATCAGAATTAACTTGCATATACACATATTAAATTAAACTCTGTATAATATACTGGAAAACGTGCATAAACACTAGTGAAAAGCTCTCACATAAACTAGTGAAAACATTTACCTCTCATATAACCTACTCAAAAGCTCTCATACAAAGTAGTGAGAACTGTTCATATAAACTGGTGAAAAGCTTTACCTTTCATACGCACTACTAGAAAGCTTTCATATACACTACTAGCTTTCTAGTAGTGTGTATGAAAGCTTTCTAGTAGT